AGAAGTAATCCTGTGCTCTCCAGTGGGAGTTCTCAAGGGCAGGGGCAAGGTATTCTGGTCACCACAGTCCCCAGGATGCCACTGAGACAGCTGGCCCTGTGAACACATGGACTGCTGCTTAGCAAGTGTGGGACTTGGAGCCAGTCATTTTCCTGTTTTCACATTAAGCTTTCCCCACCCAGAAAGAGATAAGAACATCCGGGGCCACAGTGATGTCAGCAGGGCAGAAAGAAGCTGCAGCTGAAAAAGGTATCTAAGAGAGTGAACAGAAAGGCCGATAACTGGCTCTGAAGAGGCATACCAGCTCTGGCTGTTTTAAATCACTACAACCATGTATGTTGGGAGAGTGGTCCTCAGTAGACTCAGGTTGGGGAAGAAGAACAAGAGACTGTGTGGCCTAACTTCCAGCCATGTTTAAGTTAACAACACTCCTGGCAGTGAATATTAGGGGTCAGATACATGTGAGGGGAACTGTGGTGACCAAACACAAAGGGCACTGGTGACAGGGACCCCAGCCCTCCTGACTCCTGAACAGGTCAAGCATCTATACTAGGACCATAGCATACCTCACTAGGGGTAGGGAGGCGATGCAGCCTGGGACCAAGAGGAGGCCAAGTGTGCTAAGGGAACAACACTGCATGAGTCCCACACATTGCCCTCCTGGAGCAAGTGACAGCCAAGGGAAAGAGAAGAGAGGAGTAGTTCAGACTCACCTGGACTCTAAGCTATGGGAACAGCAGTACAGAAAACAGGAGCACAAAGGGCCTCAAGAATTCACTATGGCCAGAGTGGGGTTCAGGGAAGGGGCACAGAGAAGGGAGAGGCAATCTGGACACATTATTTTCCTAGGTAGAAGAACTGTCCCAGGACAGTGGGAGCCACCAAGGGGAATTAAGCAGGAGAGGGACATGACTAGGTTTGGTGTGAAGAAGGTAACAGAGTAGACCAAAGTAAGGAGGCATCTCGGTAAAAGAGATGGCAGAAAAAATACAGGTGGTGGCATTGTGGTGGGAGAACAGACTAAAGTTCTAGAAATGTAGCCCAAATCCTAGAGTTGGAGTACCCAGGCCAGTCCTGTCATGGTATGTGCAATAATAATGTAATATTTATTTAAGGGCAGGCACTCACACATTGCATGCCTACTTGGTCAAGATGACCACTTTCCTCAAAAGGGCAGGTGTTTTAGCTCACTTCTCACCTAACCAGTCTCTGATCCCTGCCCTGAGAGCAACCTTGCCTAAACATCATCCTTTAAGATGTGGCATAGCCGGGCATGGTGGGGCATACTTTTAATCCCACCACTTGGGAGACTAAAGCAGAATTGCAAGCTCCAGTTCAGCCTGGGCTACACAGTGAGACCCTGTCTCTGTCTCAAAAAAAAGAAAACAACTAGTATGGTGGCTCATGCCTATAATTCTAGCTACTCAAGAGGCAAAGATTAGGAGGATTGAGGTCTGAGCTGGCCCTGGGCAAAATGTGAGACCCTATCTGAAAGATAACTAAAGCAAACAAGGTCTGGGGCATGGCTTAAGTGGTAAAGCACCTGCCTAGCAAGTGTGAAGCCCTGAATTCAAACCCTAATATCTCCAAAAAAAAATCTTTTAGATCATTAATACATTTTCTAAAAACAATGTAGCATAGGTTGGACCCTCAGGTTGGCTGCCTCTTATAAATAACACTGCACACATGCACACTTGCTGAATTTGCGTGCGTGTGTGTGTGTGTGTGTGGCCAGACTCGGGTTTGAACTCAAGGCCCCACACTTGTAAAGCAGAGTCTCTATTGTTTGAGCTACACCTCCAGTCCATTTTGCTGTGGTTATTTTAGAGATGGTGTCTTGTGAACTGTTTCCTTGGACTGGTCTCGAACCATAATCCTCCCAATTTTAGCCTTCCAAGTAGCTAGGATTACAGGAGTGAGCTATCTGTGCCCAGCTGCACACTCACTTCTTAAAGTTGATGGGTGCCTATGATAAAAAATAAATTATACCCCAGCATTTCATAAACGTTGAGGATTTATACTTTTTAAGTGGCAGTAATACAGTTTGGGAGAAGCCATTCTAGGTGACAGTCACTTTTGCTTAGTGGAGGAGTGTATTTGTGTGTAGGTTGCTTGTGGTCTTTAGCCACTGTTTGCCTTGCTCAACAGTTCCCTAGGATGAGAAGTCTCATACCTGCCTCTTCCTCTCTTCCCTTCAGACCTCACAGGCCCAGAGCACAGGTAGAAGATGCTGGAAGTAAGGACTTGAGCTTTGGCCCTGGTGTCCTGGCCAACTGCCTTCTGTCACAGCACAGACCCGCCCAGACCTCCAGAGTAGTGGGGCCTCGGTGGTACAGGGCTCCAGATGCTCAGCAGATGCCAGGCCTGGGACCAAGGCCCTGTCTCTGAGGGCTTGGCATACTGTTCTGGAAGGTGATTCTGGCTGGCAGCCATTCCTGAGCCCCTGTTTACAGCAGTTGTCAGGCAGTTGCTCAGATCCAGCTCCCCCTCCCCAGCAGGGCTGAGTGATCTCCTGCCTGTGCAATGCTGTCAGTCACTTGGTGAGGAGGAGGCTTGAGATTGAGGGCAGTTGACCAGACCAGAGGAGCAAGGTCTAGGCCAGGGCACCATGCAGGGCTGCAAACCTCCAGCAGCTTCTGTTCCCCTTTGGCCCTCTTTTCAGTTCCCACGCCCCAGCATGTAGCATCTGCTCTCAGCACATCCTAGCTGCCCCAGGACAGCTCCAGGCATCATCTGAGGCTTAGCTGCTGGCCCGTGCATATAGTACTGCCCCTCCTCCCCTCCCCCAAGAAGGAACACGTCTGCTGAGGGGCTAAGCAGCTGTTGTCAGCCACCCACTCCCTCACAGCCTGTTTGCCCCAGGGCCCTCAGCCCCAGAACTGGATTTGACTGAGAAAGGAACACTGACCAAAAGGCCAAAGACCCCTGGACCTTCAACTGCAGGGCCACAGTTTGTAAACTCTAAGTCTCTTTCCCACCCAGAAATTCCTGGGTTCTATGTTTCTCCTGCCACGTCCCAAGTCCTAGGAGAAAGATGCTGGGGGGACCCCTGCTGGCCACTGTGGGAATTGACCAAGGGTGGACTGTGGGGTTCAATTAGAGAGCCTTTTGCTGGCCCCAGATGAGACAGGACACCCACCCATCCCTGGCACTGCCTGGCCCAGTGTGGTTGATCCTGTTTTCACAGAGAACTTTGAACTCAGTGGAGCTCTGGCTGCTGACATGCCTTGGCCTGAAGGTCCCCAAGCTTTGTTGGGGGCCACATGCACCTACCAGGCCCTGACTGGCGTGCTCATGTGCACACGCTGCTTGTTCACTTCCCTCCCCACCCCCCGCAGCTCCCCAGAACACCAGTGAACCCATCAGCACCCAGGGAATTGGGACTTCCTGCTGTGCCATCACATCGCCCTGTTTGGTGACAGTGGCGTTTGTCTGGAGTTCATCTTGATATTGCCAAACTATTGTGGAGAATCCACAGGCTGCTGTCCTAATTCCCACTCCACAGAGGGCAGGAGGGAGAGCCAGGGCTGCAAATGGAAATGGAGGCCAGAGATACCCAGGGGCCTGCCCAAGGTCAGACTCTGCATGCAAAGCCTCACCAGGCTGTTGCCAAGGTTAGCCAGCATAGTTGTTTTTCTCCAGGCCTCTGGTGACTTGTGGGACCATGCTGGGGTTCAGGGAGGACAATCACTCAAGAAGAAGCTTGCCTGAGGTCTGTTCTTACTGCCTGACACTCCCAGCAGCAGTTCCACCCTCTCCCTCTCCCTTCCCCTGTCCTTGTTCTTACTTGAGATCAGAGAGTGAGGTGAAAGAGTCCCTGCAGAGGAGCCTGGCTCTGCCAGTTAGGCTGTTTAACTAGTGGGGTGTGACAAGGAGGACCTCCCACCCAGAGCCACTCTTGGCACAACCCTGCCTGCTGGTTCATCATAATCCTGATGTGAGACCCTGCTGCCACCTGCTGGCCTCACTTGTAAAATGCAGTCTGGCTCAGCCCTGGGGTTAGTTACACCCCAGGAACAACAGTAAGTTCACCCAAGGAACAGACTGCATTCTCTGGCCTATAGCATTCTGGGACAGCATGGGGAGAAAAGTCTAGAACTGTGCTTGGCCCACCATAGCAAAGTCTATTGAGTAGACAAGTGCACGAATGAAATAACAAACATAAGCACCTGAGTATTTGGGCAACAGCCTGACCAAAAACAGACTGTAGATTGAGGCAGATGCTTCTCATGGGGCTCCTCTTAGATTGGCAAGGGGAGCTAAAAAATCATGCAAACCAAACTAGTCTAATAGTACTAGACTGCACACAGGGGGCCCTTGCTGCAGTGACACCAGGATGCAATGCCCCCTTCCTACAAGGCTTCAAGATCAATCCACTTGTCCCACAAAAGAAGCCCCAAGATGAGGGAAAGCAGTGTATGACCTCGTGCCTGGGATTGGAGGGGCTATGGATTGGCCTCAAGGCTGTGTGATTCTGGCTTCCACTTTGCTTGGCCCCTCAGTCTTAGCACACTCTCTCCATTTCCCATCAGTCCCTGCTCCACCCTGAGTCCTTGACATACTTTTGTCTTTTCATTTGGAGTTGTATCATGTGTACTTACTGGTGCTTCTACTTATCCTCAAGTGAAGCAAGGTGGGCTTTCCTGGGAGTCGGTCATTCTGAAGAGACCTTTACTGTGTGGCTTCTCTGGATGGGACTTGGAGCTGAGCTCTGTGACCTCTCTGTCACTGCTTCCCACAAGTCCCCTTCTAACAGGGAGACTGAGCACACACTCACAAACCAAAAGAGAAGAGCAGCATACACATACTGTCTCAGAGAAAGTGTGAGCCAGGGGAGTGAAAGAGAAAGAACTCAGAGAAACAAATTAGATTGGGTTACAGGGAAGTTATTTACACTGAGAACTAAAAGGTGCAAGATAGACAGCTTGGCAGGGAACTTGGAAAAAGAGGTAATGTTGCCTGTCTCCAGGGTCCCTCCAGTCACCATCCCTCCCTTGCAGGCTCGTGGAGGAGTTCATGCTTTTGGCCAACATGGCAGTGGCCCACAAGGTCTACCGCACCTTCCCTGAGCAGGCCCTGCTGCGTCGGCACCCCCCACCCCAGACAAAGATGCTCAATGACCTGGTGGAATTCTGCAACCAGATGGGGCTGCCCATGGATGTCAGTTCTGCAGGGGCCCTCAATGTGAGTTCCTGGCGGACAGGGTAGTGGGAGGCCTTGCTTGGAGAAAAAAAGAGTAAGGCCTAGAAGTTGGGGGTACCGTGACTTCTGCTTTCACAGAGTCTCTTCTTCTTCATCCATCTCTCCCCTGAGGTGGAAAGGGAGGCCTGGGCAAAAGGCCTGAGTCACAAAGGCCCTGAGTATGTCCTGGCTCCCTCACCTGGACTGGGCCAATTTAAGGCTTAGCAATGGGCAGAGTTACTGGGGCCAGGACTGAGCCAGTCTTAGACCTAAAGGTTTTCAGTATAGGGGCTGGGTTCCTGGAGGCCAGGGAATGTGTCTTGGGAAGTTGCTTCAGGGGTTTCCAACCTGGAACTAAGCTTTACAGGGCTGAGGAACCCAGGGTCCTCACTCTGATCATATGGGATAGGACACTTCTCACCTCCTCTGAGCTCAGGGGAGACAGAGAAGAGCTTTAGGTCAGAGAGCTGGCCAGCTAGCTAGATATGGAAGGGCTGATCTTAGGCCCATTGTGGGCCACAGGCTATGTGGCCCCTCTGGTAGCCATCTGAGTAGGGCTAAGCCCTATCCAGAGCTGATACCAGATGATCAACCAGTTACAGGGGCCCAAGTTTGACCACATCTTACACAGGTTTCTATTGGTTTGCTTCCAGAAAAGTCTTACCAAAACATTTGGAGATGACAAGTATTCACTGGCCCGGAAGGAAGTACTCACCAACATGTACTCTCGGCCCATGCAGGTAAGAGGCAATGGGCAGGCGTTCTGGGGAAGGGCCAAGCCTCTGTCCCCACTCACTAGAGCACCTATAGCCCTGATCTGTGATCTCCATGTACACACAGCCCACCACCATTCCTGCTGTGCTCTAGGCCCAGCTGGGTGCAAAGGGCCTGAGGAACACTTTGGGGATGGTGGGCAGGGGATGAGGATGCCCTGAGCATCACCTAGACAGGTGGGGCCTGGACTCTGCTCTCACAGCCCCATGAAGTGGGTGGAACAGATGACAGGGCAGGGGCAACAGCAGCAACAAGCACAAAAGTGGTGGGTAGGGGTACCTGTTTCTTCAGTGAACTGCTACAAGACACTAAAAGCTGTCCCAGTGACAGAGGGACACTATAGAAAATCCATTGCCCTCACCCTACACAAAGACACCTCCAGCAGCCAGGAGAGAGTTGTCCTTTGTTGTCTTCACCCCAGCTTGTCTGGGGAACCGGGCCACCACTGAGAACAAAGCCCAAATGTGGCTTATAATGGTGGCTGCACCTTGTCTCCTCCTGCAACTTGCCCCAGACATAACCCAGAACTCAGCAAGGGCTGGAAGGGAAACAGAGTTAGGTGTTACGTGGGTCGCTGCCAGCTGCACCCTGAACTCCAGGGTCATGCAAGCAGAGTAATTGGATCTGGCTGTCCATTTGGCCTAGCACACAGGAGTTAGCAAGGGCATAAATGTGCTCCCTGGCAGCGGGCACCCCGATTCCAGAGGCTGTGTGACAGGCCCTAGAGTGGCTCTATGTCTCTTTCTGCCCTAGTCCAAACACCTCCCTTTTCAACATAGACCTCTGCGTCTCACCCCAGAAGGGTCAGATGAGTGTCCTGGGCTGGTCAGCTAGCAAAATACCTCCCTTGGCTGGCATGGGTTGGAGTATTGCAGTGGGGAGTGGGGAGGGCTGGTGTGCAGGTGTGACCCATCAGCTAGACAGAGATCAAAGCCAAAGAGCGTGAGATTAGCCCAACCACAGGCTGGGGAGCTGTGTGATCCATTCCTAGCAGGGGGTTGGCGGCTTCCCATTCTGGCCAGATGGTGGTGCTGGACTTTGTGTCCTCCACAAAGACCACCCCCTCTTCAGTTTCTGCTTGTGCCTCTAGAAGACAAGTCCACAGCCTTGGGCCAGCACAGCCAAGGCTTCCTGACCTCTTTCATCCTGAGCTAGAGTGGCAGCCCCAGACCCATCCTGGGGTGAGACAAAGCACAAATCACTTCTCATTGTTCCTGGCCAGGGACTCAGCAGCCAGGGGCCCGGGAGAGGTTGAGTTCCTATGCAGCCACTCTGGAGGCCAGAGTCACAGGAGCCTGAGGGGAACAAGCCACCCAGCATCCTCAGAGAATCCCAGCACCCTGCCTCCAGCAGAAATAGGCCATCTGAGCTTTTCTAAGTGCTGCTGCCAGTGTCCAGGCAGCCATGGGGCAAGGCCAGCATGTATCTTTTTGGCAGGAAAGAGGCTTCATAGCCTGCCCAGTCTCATGGCAGCTGCTTGGGCCCCTTATGTTGAACAAACTGAGACCCCAAGGGCCTGCCTGTGTTTGCTCCACTGACTATGGCTTGTCAGTTAAGTATAGCAGAGTGGCTCCCAGCACCTGTCAGGCCCAGCTAGGCTCTGAGACCCACCCCACCTCCCCAGATGGCGCTCTACTTCTGCTCGGGGGTGCTGCAGGACCAGGCACAGTTCCAACACTACGCCCTCAACGTGCCACTCTACACGCATTTCACCTCACCCATCCGCCGCTTTGCCGACGTCATGGTACACCGCCTCCTGGCTGCTGCGTTGGGTAAGGGACATGGCTTGGGGACAGGGCAGGCTTGAGCCAGCCAAGGGCTACCCCAGAGTGAGTTCTCAGTGGCCAGAGGCCACTGCTGGGAGCACAGAGGTCCCAGGAGACAGACAGCCTGAGTGTGGGAGAGCCTGGGCCTAAAGATGAGCAGGTGCTAGGGAAAGCCACAGTAGTGCTTACTGCAAGCCTGGATACAAGTCAGCTCCAGGGCCTCAACCTCAGTGGAGTCTGCCTTCCTCAGCACCTGGGCTGAGCAGCAAGGGACCTTAGCTTGTGCTCAAGCAAGGGTGCCATGCTGCCCCACCAGTGGCTCTGACCACTCTCTTCCCAGGCTATAGGGAGCGGTCAGATACAGAGCCCGATGTCCTGCAGAAGAAAGCTGACCACTGCAACGATCGCCGCATGGCATCCAAGCGTGTGCAGGAGCTCAGCATTGGCCTCTTCTTTGCCATCCTAGTCAAGGTGAGCCCCAGTCTGGTGCCTTCCCCCCCACCTCACCTACTCCTCCTGGGTGCTCTCTCACCAGGATCCTCAAGGAGTGCCAGCATGCTCTCATCCCTCCTCTTTGGGAAGAGTGCCATGGCTGGAGCCCTGTCCTTGCAGGAGAGTGGCCCCCTGGAATCAGAAGCCATGGTTATGGGTGTCCTGAACCAAGCCTTCGATGTGCTGGTGCTGCGCTACGGGGTGCAGAAGCGCATCTACTGCAACGTGAGTATGCCCAGTGTAAAAGGGGGGGCAGGCACCAGTAGACCAAGCCACCCCTCAGAGGACTGTGCCCTCATGGGACTTAGCACAGTGTTCCCTGCCTATCTCTACTCCTGCTGCTAGGCTGTCTGTATGTCTCTGGCCCACAACAACCCATGGTAGTCTCATGACCATGGAAGACCAGACTGAGGTCTGATGTCAGGCCCCATCCACACTGGAGGAACATAAGCTATGTGTGTCTCACTGTGCCCCTCCTTTAGTGTGAGCTACTGAGAAGTGGCAGCAAAGAGTCCAGAGGTCTAACCTCAAGCCCACCTGATGGGCCATGCCAAGACTCCCAACTAGGCCTGCCTAGGGTGGGGACTTCGGGCCAACGATCAAGCCTGGACCCCTTCTCCAAGGACCCAGGCATCCAGACAACAAGTCCATCTATAACCAGTACAGGATGGCAGGATGTACAGGCCTGGGGATATGTTTATAAGGACATTAGGAAGGAAAGGCCACAGGATGGTGCATGGCCTCTCTAGATGCCATGTCCCTGAAGAAAAGGAAGAGACAGTCCTTGCCTCATCTCCTGCCCTGGGTGACTTGTTTATTCAGGGTCCTCTCTAAAGAGCCTTGATGCCTGTCTTAATGACATTTGAGGAGCCTGGCTCTAGCCTTGCAGTTACCAAGTCACCACCTGGCTCCTGCCCCTGGCTGTGGGATGCCTAACATGCAGAGTGTTTGGCAGAGTGCAGAGCCCAGCACATAGTGCTGAATAGACACGGTATTATAAAACAGCAGAACAGAAGAGAAAGAGTCCATTCCAGCTAGAAACAGTCAAGCACTGATGCTGAAGTTCATTGAGCAGGACAGACATTCAGGTCTAGGTCAGTCAACCAACTTCTAACCTATGCTCTCAGACCAGCAAGGGGTGCAGCTCACTGGCAGTGCAGTCGGCACAGACAGACTCAACTACCTCACATAACTCACAGAGCCCTGGCCCCTCCCGGCCCAAGCCTTGGCACTTTCAGGTGCTGCTGCAGCTGAAGGTGAACTGGCAGGGCGTCTGAAGGCAGCTGAAGGTGAAGCTGGCTGGCGGCAAGAGGCTAGGGTTGGATGGTCCCTGTCCTAGGTCAAGCATCCACAATGGGTAGCAGGACAGGAAGTTCCCTTGTAGCTAGACGAGGGCCAGGACAGAGGGCCATCTCTAAGCAGGAGGTTAGGAGGTGGCATCCAGAGCCCAAGGTGGTGGTGTGTTCCCCTCTAGGCACTGGCCCTGCGGTCCTACCACTTCCAGAAGGTGGGGAAGAAGCCAGAGCTCACACTAGTCTGGGAGCCTGAGGACCCTGAGCAGGAGCCCACTCAGCAGGTCAGAACCTCACTGTGTCATGTTTGTCTACTCTTCCCAAGTCCTAGTGGGCCCTCCTTCTGCCTCCCAGGTCTGCCCTGCACCCCACACTGTAGGCTCCCCAGTGGGGTTTCAGACCCCCTCTTCCCATGCCAAGGCCCAGGCAATGCAGTCAGACTGCCAGAGCCCTCACCTGGAGGACACCCACTGTGGGCAGAGACTGTGCCTATCCCCCTAAAGCATGGGTTGTTAACTTGTGGGGTCCCTTGAGAATCTGATGAAAGCTGTGGACTTTACCCCAGAGATCATATAGAGTGGTTTTTCACTCCACAGGCCAGCCCAACCTGTTTCCCCTTACTCTTGTGAGCACTCACTGTGTTATCAGGTGTCCACACAGTGCTATCTGGGCCTCTTGGTTCTCCCCAGATTCCATAGCTCCAGTTTACAAATAGGCAACAGAGGCTTAGAGGCCCAGGTGGGCCTCAGTGACCCTGCACACACAGTGGTAGAGCTGGAATTTGACCACAGACCCCTGTCCTCCTTGTCTCCCACATACCTGATTCTGCCACAGATCATCACCATCTTCAGCCTGGTGGAAGTGGTCCTGCGGGCAGAAGCTGCTGTTCTCAAGTACAGTGCCACCCTGAAGCGGCCAGGTGCTCAGAGCTCCCTGGGCCTGGAGGAGGAGGATCCTGATGATGAGTTGGAGGACTGAGCTACCAGGCCTGTCGCCTGCCCTGGCCTTCTGGCTTTTAGGAGTGGGACCTTTTGACACCAAAGGGGATTTTTAATTTGGTTTTTAACAACTCAGGGGTTTGTTTTTATTTTTATTTTTCATTTTATTTTTGCAGCTTAGTTTTTAAATGAACTGAAGGGGAGAGGGTGGGGCTAGATGGAAGGCTGAGCCTAGCAAGTGTTTCCCCAAACAGAGAGAGCCCTGGTCCTCCTGGAAGGCAAGCCCTGCTTCTGCCAGGCCACCCACTGCCCTCCCCTTCCCAGGAAATGGGGGGTTCAGAAAATCAGTGTTATGGAATAAAATCAAGTGTGAAGTGCTGTCTGTGTGGGTGATATGGGAAGCCTGGCAGCAGGGTGCCCCACGCACCCAGGGTGGCTCAGGCCCCACCTCACAGCTGAGCTGGTGTCAACAGCCCAGAACTTTCCTGCCAGCTCCAGAATGATTCACAGAGCCATGCATGGCAGATTGATGCTGGAGCTTCATTCTGGCTGATTAAAAATGTAATTAGTGTGCACAACAGGGAGCTACCCATCATCCTGTACACATGGCTACGTCCATCCCTTCCCACCAGTTCCTCTCTGCTTCCAGCCCACATGGCCAGGGGTGGGGGTGCAGTGGCTGGGGTCTGGGACACTCCCTCCCCTAGTTCCTAGGTGAGAGTTCCAAGTAGCCCATCCACATGCCTTAACCTGAGTCAGTACCTTGACACCTCCAATCCCAATCCTGTGCCTGGCATTGCTGAGAAAGCATGGGGACAGGTTGAAGCCTGGCCTGCAGTAGGACAGTAGGAGCCTCCCAGGTAGACAGAAGGGATGGGGATCCACCTAAGCACCCACTCTCATGGTCCCAGAGGTGGAGATACCAAGCAGCCCTATGCCCAGCTGGCCTGACCTCTACCTGCACTCCTCCCCCTCCCCCAAACTAGAGAATCTTAGGTTGGCTTCCTTGAGACGTGCCAAAATCCGGGATAAAAACCATGGTGACAAGGATCCTGTCCCACCTTGAGGTTCCTGAGGTGTCAGGATTAATGGGCTCATTTGATGTAGTTACAGAGAATTTTCTTCACCGAAGAATTCGGTAGCATCCCTTGGTAGAAGGCCTCACAATGACTGGTTGCAGCAATGGCCCTGCTCCTGTAGGGCTGTCACCCTCAGTCTGGGATGGCTGCCTGGGGGTGGGGGGAGTCAAAGTCACATCATCCTTACCTTCCCTTAGTTCCTTTCTTTCCCCAGTGCCTCGGCTATCTCATGCAGCCCTCAGCTTGCCACTCCCAGATGTCCCCAGAACCTTCTCATGGCACCACATATTTGGAAGGGTAGGTAGGTGAGGGGCTGGTGGTTTGGAATTTTGATGAGGCTTCTGGGTGCTTCCCTAGCCCTGAAAGCCCCACAGGTGACAGTCCTACCTTGCCTGTTCCCTCAAGACTACGCCATCCTCTGAAGGGCTCTCTGCCCTGTCACGCCTAGGCCGTCCCTACCCTCAAGAATCCCCAGGGAGGTGGTGGCAAGAGTACTGGGCTCCCTCTCAGGCAGCAGACTGTGGCTGGACAGCGCCTGACTGCCTCAGCAAGGACCAGCCAGACCCACCAGTGAGGAAGAGCTCTGCTGCCTAGACTTGCTTAGGAGGCAGCTGCGGGATTCAAAGCTTCTCCCGAAAGGCTTGCCTCGCCCTCAGTCCCCCAGAACATCACAGCCCCTGGAGCTCCAGGCCTCCCCATCCATTTGACAAGTGGACACCACACCCACAAGGAGCAGGTCTCTACCTAAGGTGGCACCTGCAGCCAGACTGCCCAGTGAGGACAAGGCTTGGTTGGGTGCCTGCTCTTTACCCCACCCCATTGTCTCCTGGGTGCAAAGGAAATGGCTCAGCTTTCTTCCCCTCCACAGAAGCTGAGTCCTTTGTCTTCATTCATTCATTCCACAAACGTTATAATTAAGTCAATCTACTGCAGGGTACTGGTGGGACTGGTGTGTCCACAGGTCCTGTGAAGGGGACAATCCCTTCTTTGATCCTACAAGAAGAGAACTTCTGACAAAAGGGATGACAGCAGAGAAAAGCCTCATCAAAAGGAGGACTTGTTCTTCAGTAAGCTATCCCACAGCACCTGCAAGCCAGTGGAGGCCTGGGGCACAGAATAAGGGCTCTTTTTCTTAAGGACTCCCCTCAGCACCATAGAAGGGAGATACACAACTAGTCCCACTCTATGACTGGGGACTGGAAAAGCTCAAAGGCAGGTGAGATATTCCCAGCCACACAGGGGTCACTGCCAGCTTCCTGGCACCAGGGGAAGATGGCACAGGCCACAGACCCAGCATGGGCAAGAGAGCTAAGACGTATGAGCTTGAGCCTACCTTCCTGAAGACAGCCTGACCTTCCTGGCTTCCTGCCCAGACCTGCTTAGGAAAGGTCTTAGGAAAGCACGGTGAGGACTCCGGCCCCAAGAAGCTGTCATACTGGAGTGGAAGCACCGCTGGGGCACTGAGCAGTAGTGGGAAGCTGGGGGAGCATGCGGTAGAGAGGTGAGGCCTCTGCAGAGCCACACCAGATGCCCACTGCAGCCCCTCTGGCCATATGGCAGGGTAGAGCAGGCCAACAAGGATGCCGTGAGAGGAGGGCCTGAGGTGCGTGTCAGATTTTAAACTTATTATCCTAGCCGGGCACTGGTGGCTCATGCCTGTAATTCTTGCTACTCAGGAGGCAGATCAGGAGGATGGTTCAAAGCCAACCCCAGACAAATAGTTAGCAAGACCCTATCTTGAAAAAAACCCATCAAAAAAAAAGCTGGTGAAGTGGCTCAAGGCCTTGAGTTCAAACCCCAATACTGGAAAAAAAAAAAAATTAAAACCCCAGTGCCACCACAAAAAAAAAAAAAAAAAACACCTTGTATTATTATTCTGCAGTGCTGAGGCCCAAGCCCAGGGCCTTGCATGTGCTTGGCAACCACTGTACCACTGAGTCACATCCCTAGCCCAGAACGTTTTTAGGCATGCAAGTTCTCAAACAACATGTGTCCCCTGTCTTCTTTCTCAAGAAGGGTGTGCTCTGCCAAATGAGGGAAAAGACCAAGGAAGAGGAAAGCAATAGGAAACACTCTTCCGCTTTGCGCTAGCCAGATGGAAGTTGTGGATAGCTGAGTACAAGCTCTTCTAGTATTGGCAGCCCCGCCCTTGAATGCCCAAGGCCTGGGGGATGGCCTGGCAAACCCAAAGCCTTCCAGCTCCAATCCCTTAGAGCTAAGAGCCTATTGCTGCAGGCGCTAGAAGCCGGAGACTTAGGAGTCCCCATCCTCGGGGACGGAGGCTTATTGCTGTGGGCTTTGACCACCAGGAGCCCTGGCACTTGGCAGCTATTGTAACCCTCAGCCTTCAGCAGCAGTGAGTGGCAGCAGCAGGCAAGGCCTGCTAGTTGTTACAGTTCCTGAACGGGCCTCAGGTGTTGGGACCTTCAGTTCCCACAGCAGTTAGTATGACAGCTTTTGAGCCTAGGGTGTCTGGGACACTTGGCCCTTAAGGGTTGTCAGCTCTCTGGAACTCTCATAGCAACTGAGATCCACAGTTTCTTGTCTTCAGCTCTTCAACACCTTCCTTGTCTCTGCCACCTCTGCTCCCTCCTCTATGGAACACTTCTGCTGTCCTTTCACTGCTGCCACTGCCGGCAGCACTCTGTTGCCACTTCTACTATCTCCTCTCTCTACTAATGATCAAAAGTAGGCAAGAAAAGAGCACCTGAGAGATGCCTTTTATTGGGCCTAATGTTGCAACACCAGGGGCCAGCTCAGGAGGGTGCCTACTGGCTGACTGAAAAATGAGATGAGGGCTCAAGGGGTAGAGCACCCTGTCTTGCAAGTGCAAAGTCCTGAGTTCAAACTCCAGTACCCGCCCCCCCAAAAAAAGTGACCGAACAGCCTGCTTATGTAACCAGAAAGGGGGTGTGGCAAGGGTGTTTGCACCAATCATAGCAGTCCTTCATGCAAATTAAGGACTATGTTTGCACCAATCACTGGACTGCCACTGGGCTACCATGGGAAGTGCTCCCCCTCTGGCCTGGGTGAAAAATGGCTGCAGGATCTAGAGTTGGTTCAAAAAGTCCAGTGCCAGCTATTTGAAACAATCTTGGCTGGGACCTCCTGGAGCTGGAGTTGTGCTTCAGCAGCAAGAAGCCATTGTTACCTTTTAGCTTCTTCAGGGCATTTGTGGAGTGTTCAAAACAGCTGGCATGAGGAAAGTATCTCTTCAAGGCAGCCAGGGCACCAGGGGTCTAACAGCACTCAATTAGGGAGTCAAATTTCCCTGGTCCCATCTTATTTAAAGGAAACATTTTAAAAGGTGTTTGCAGTAAAGACCTATATCATTAATAACAGTAACTACTGGGTTTTTTTGTTTGTTTGTTTGGTTTTGGTTTTTGGGTTGGGTTTTGTTTTGGTGGTACTGGGGCTTCAACTCAGGGCCTACACCTTGAGCCACTCCAACAGCCCTTTTTTGTGAAGGTTTTTTTTTTTTTTTTCTTCAAGATAGGGTCTCATGGAACTATTTCCCCCACCGGGCTGACTTCACACTGAGATCCTCCTGATCGCTGCCTCCTGAGTAGCTAGGATTATAGGCGTCAGCCACCGGCACCAGGCTAGATTATTCTTTTAAATAAGGTCTCACGTTTTTGGGTGGTGGAGGGACTCAAGCCTAGCAAGTGTGAGGCCCTGAGTTTAAGCTCCTGTACCACAAAAAAAAAAAAAAAAAAGTCTCACATTTTTTGCCTAAGGCCAGGATTCTTCTACCTATTCATCCAGAGTAGCTGGGACTACAGACATACCACCATACCCAGCTTGTCAGTTGAGATGGAGTCTTGCTAACTCTTTGCCCAGGCTGCCCTCAAACTGCAATCCTCCCAATATCCACCTTTCAAGAAGCTGGGATTACAGGCTTTTTGTTGTATTTTTTGAGACAGGGTCTTGACTTCCCAAATGTTGGGATTATAGGTATGTACCACCACACCCCACAATTTGACACTATTTAAATGTTTGTTTATGTTACTGGGGATTGAACCCAGGGCCTTGTGCATGGTAGCAAGTGCTCTCCCAATTGAGCCGTGCCCCCAGCCCTTTTGTTTGTACTTTTTGGGTTTTGAGATGGGGTCCTAGACTGGCAGAGTAGTTCAAATGGTAGAGTGCCTGCCTAGCAAGCAAGATAGGGCCCCACTGTCCTTGCCTGGGCCAGCCTCCAATTCTCAATCCTCCTGCCTTCATCTTCTGAGTAGCTGGGATTATAAGCATTGAACCACTGTGCTGGCTAACAGTGCTTTTCTCTTAACCAAGTAAATAGTAGGTCTTGTGGGGAATTGGGCCAGAAAGTAGTGGTATAGTGCTTGAGATGGTGGTGAGGGGGCAGCCCAGCACTGGGTCAGCTGGGCCTCTAGTCCAGAGGGCACTGGCCTAGAGCAGCAGGAAAGCGAA